ATAAAGCTTGCTAAGTTTTTGACTTAAGTAGGGTCGTAAGTACGTTTTAGGCACAATCTTAGGACCTGTCTAAGTACTACTTAAGTACGTCTTAAACCGTAACATAAAGCGAACTAAGCTAGGTCTTAGCTAAGTCAAACTTATGTTAAAAATATTTCATATGAGTCTACCTATGGTTTTTGATTTTATATAGATATATTGCTAAACGTGATTCAGTTAGGGTTTTAATTAATTACATATTAAAGTTGACGTCCTTGCCTATCGGTTTAAGTCATGTTAGATTAGATTTTATATTAAAATTATAATCATGTTATAAATTATTCGGAATGTTTGGGAAACAATACCGCATTGTCAGAAAGTGGCGATTTGTGGTTCATTTTAAATGTACGACAATTGTTTTATCACCTGAGATGTTTTCAGTTTACCTTTTGTAACTCTTTTGTTTTGACAAATGTTCACTTACCCTGTTATTATCGCAGACAAGAAAAGATAATCGACCGTCTATCTACTTAAAATTGAAATTCTAAAAAGTTAAATACATGCTGTATTCCCGCTATATCAGGCCATGCATGTCAGAAGCAAAAACTGCAGAAGTTTTATGATATACTCATTTGCAATTTAATCTAGGATACAAAAAACTTAAAAACTTAAAATTAGTGTTCTTTACCAGGCATTTGGACAAAATGATAATTTTTCGTATGCGTCCACTTATCAGCAATTCTCTCTCTGTCTCTCTCTCGATCGATCGAACTGTAGTGAGCCCTGTCTAAATCCGCATTTGCCGCGATCTACATTTATTCTATACTTAACAGATACTTCTATAATATTACTGCTACTGTCAGCATCCTCTTACTTTTCTGTTTTTAACAAATTATTTCAACTCATATTTTCAAAGTAGACATACAGATCCATGGTTTATTACTGTGTTCAACTTATTTCTATAACCAAGGTCCCACTAATTTCAGACGTATCCGTAAAATTAAATTTTGTATTTACATGTATGCTGTGTAGGGAGTGATATTGGAAGCAGTGATAAGCCCCCTCCCTCCCCATAAAAAATAAGTCTTAAATCAGAGTCAAATCGAGATAATTATTTTCTTTAATGCATAATATGAATAGAGGAATGTTTTTACATCGAAAGTCAACATTAAATAATACTAAATATATGTACAAGAAAGTTAAAATAAACTTAAGTCACCTCTTCCGGCCGCCTAAGTTTTGCTAAGATTGCCAAATCTTAGCACGCTTCTAGTTACGGTCTTAAGTTTTAGACTGTACATAAGTCCTACTTAAGCACGGTCTTAGACTTAAGTAGCCTTTATGTTACGACCCCCAGAAAGCTCACTAGCTTCAGATATATAAAAATCATATTCAAATTGTGAATATAGTATTTAGAGTGAAGTTCTCATCAATGATTTTTATGGAATAATGATAAACAAAAAGTTTTGAGAAACATTTTTCGTTAAAATTTATTCTTTTTTTAAAGAAAAATAATATGGTATCCTTGGGGTCGTAACATAAAGGCTACTTAAGTCTAAGACAGTGCTTAAGTAGGACTTAAGTACAGTCTAAAACTTAAGACCGTAGCTAGAAGCGTGCTAAGATTTGGCAATCTTAGCAAAACTTAGGCGGCCGGTAGAGGTGACTTAAGTATATCTTTACTTTCTTGTACATATATTTAGAATTATTTAATGCTGACTTTCGATGTTAAAACAGTCCTCTATTCATATTATGCATTAAAGAAAATAATTATCTGTATCTGACGCTGATTTAAGAATTTTATTTTTTCATTGGGGGGGGGGGATCACTGATTCCAATATAATATCACTCCCAACACAGCATACATATATATACAAGATTTAATTTTAGGGATTACTCCCAACACAGCATTCATGTTAATACAAAATTTAATTTTAGGGATACGTCTGAAATGTAGTGGGACCTCGGTTATAGAAATGAACACAGTAATAAACCATGGATCTGTATGTTCACTTTGAAAATATGAGTTGAAATAATTTGTTAAAAACAGAAAAGAGGATGATGACAGTAACAGTAATATTATAAAAAGTATCTGTAAAGTAGAAAAAATAAATGTAGAACGCGCCTCTCTCTAACTGTACACAGGGCTCACTACGAGAGAGAGAGATGATAAGTGGAGACATATGAAAAGATATCCCGATATTTTTTTGTATCCTTGATTAAATAGCAAATGAGTATATCATAAAACTTCCGCAGTTTTTGCTTCTGATATGCACTAAAAACATCTCAGGTGATAAAACAATTGTCGTACATTTACAATGAACCACAAATCGCCACTTTCTGACCGTGCAGTATTTGTTTCCAAACATTCTGAATAATTTATTTATAACATAATTATGATTTTAATTCGAAATCTAATCTAACATAACTTAAACCGATAGGCAAGGACGTCAACTTTAATATGTAATTAATTAAAACCTTAACTGAATCACTGTTAGCAATATATCTATATAAAATCAAAACCCATGGGTTGACTCATACGAAATATTTTTAACATAAGTTTGACTTAGCTACGACCTAGCTTAGTTCGCTTTATGTTACGGTTTAAGACATACTTAAGTAGTACTTAGACAGGTCCTAAGATTATGCCTAAACCGTACTTACGACCCTACTTAAGTCAAAAACTTAGCAAGCTTTATGTTACGAGCCCCTGGTCCTTAAATCATGTTTGTGATAAAACCATTGACTTAAGGGAATTCAATTTTGGGTTTCTGCTCCATGTTTTTGGAAACCAAAATATGTATGTTTATATTCAAACTTTGAGGATTAATTTTCAAAAAAAGTGGAGAGAAGACCCTTTCATATCGAAAAATAGTGTAATAATATAAAAAAAAATTGACTCCTTTTGTCCTATTTCAAGTGTATATAATATTTCATTGGCAAAAAACTTCTATCTTCATGAGATTTGTGCAAGTTGTAGAGATTTTACTTAAAGTATACTTTAATCTTAGATGATATATTAAGGAAAATTTTGATATAATTGAGATTTAATTTTTCACCTTCATGTTTGTTGCGCTATGGGCTTATCTCTCGTCATGTTCACCCATCTCCTTTGGTCATAAAATCTTTGCTGAATGTAAACAAACAGTTCAGTAGTAATTGATTTTCTTAATACCAGTGTTCAAGTTAATTAACTCTCATTCAAGCTCTTTTTATAAAGAAATCTTTTCTTATGTTTTACTTTAAATAAAGAATTAAATATACTAAGTATTCTACTTTGAAATTGGTGAAAATTAGCATTTTTTTGACGTTTTAGTATGTAAAAAAATTAGTATGTAAACATATTTTCCCCGTGAAAAACAAAATGCTTTAGTATAAATTTGTAAAGTAACAGTTAAAATTACTTGTATAAAGGAATTTTTGCTTCGCAGAGTGCGCGCGCGCGCGCGCGCGCGCGCGGCGCGCGCGGGGGGGGGGGGGGGGGGGGGGACATGTAGATGTTATAAAAATGTTTTCCGTTGGTTACTATTGTCTTTCACTAGTCAACAATTTTCAATTGCCAATGACATGTACTCATTGGCAATTAAAAATTGTTTTCCCAAAATAATAATGTTTTATGAAAATTCATATACATTGTAAATCTTTCCATATCTATTTGTTTTCTATGTGATAACTCTTAAAGTTACGTGAGTTGATTTCTTGATAATTCAACCGGAAAGTGAAAGGTCAGGAGCTAAGAAAGCCTTCTATGCATGTACATCTCGTGGGTCTGTCTTTGTGTTTGACATCAGTGGGCGGGGAGACTATTGAGATTGAAATTTCTCAGGCCTCGTGTAATTTAAATCTATTGGCAGCATTTCTCAAATTTTTAACAAGTTTATTTCACAATGAAATGTACATATAAGGAATCACTGTCTAGTTTGTTGTGATTCGCCCATTTTGCGAATTATCCCACGTTTCCAACTACTAGTATTGTTCAATATGTTTGCACTGGTATACACAACAACCTAGACAGTGATTTCTTAAATATTTATGAGAAATTATTCAAACATGTTAATTTTAAAAATCGACTTCTAACTAGTAGGCGGGAGAACAATATTATCGTTCGCAGTCCTAGTTTACTTCAGATATCCTTGTAAAAATTGACATGAAAGTGAAGAACAAAAATCAGGAAACTATTGTTTGCTATGATAATATTCTTTCTGTTTCTATGTATGAACTTAAACATTTAGAATGTATGAATTGCAATACTTTTGTTATTTATTTAAGCCTTAATTTGCATTCTTCAAAAGGTCAATGTAAATTTCTTCCAAACTCAACTCACGTCTGCATATGTCATTGTCACGACAACTGTTACCATGGATGTCAGACGTGTGATTTAGGATGGGGTGGATCCAAAAGAAAACATTGCCAAAAAGGTATAACATAATACATGTATAAAGTATATAATATAAGATATAACAATGAAATTTTATCCCCACTAAAATGTGTGTGTACATACACAGATATTTCACGCCATTCTTCACAATAATTGTGGAAAACCTGTTTTTCTTATTTTTATGGATTCAAGTAATGTGCTCTCTCTGACAGTGAACAGACATGTTCAATTACACCTTACTTTTGAAAGCCTTGTTAATGAATATCAAACTATGAATTTTACATCCTACATGTACATCTATTTAATCATTATTAATGTAATGTAGAGTTTATAAAATATGCCCGATTAAGAAAAAAAGAAAAAATAGAAAATCCCGTGCTCCAAACTTAAGAAATATTAAAATAGATATTGACATATTCCTTATCACTCTTAACTTCCATGATTGCCATATTAATGTTGGCTAATTGAAATAGAGATGACAAGCATATAACGTACACATGTATCTACATTTACATACTTATGTAAATATGATGAAAGCTATTCTATTTTTAAAATACGATTACTTATGTATGTTTTGTTGGTAAGATGCTTCTATTATGTCATACTCTTTGGACATCTATTTAATGAAAATATAAATATTTTCAATCTTAGAAAATATAGTGTATCAAAAACGGACATGGCAAGAGAATACCTACTCGTCGAAGTTCGATTCCAGTCGGGCGGTGGACGGGGACCTCAAGACCTACTCTAGAGTTCAGGAGACGGAGAACGCCATCTGGTGGAGGGTCAGGTTAGATGGAGACCACAGCATTTCAACAATCAACGTCACTATGGACTGGGGTACGACAATGTTGAATTAAAGGAATATGAGCTTCATTTTTGAGAATTTATTTTGCTGGTAAAATGTGTTATTATGATTAATCTGTATGTAATCTAAATCATTATGATCAATGAAACCAAAATAAAGTTTTAAAATGTTTCAGAAGAAATATTTCTGTAAACCGAATATATAGTATTATATAAGAAATCATTATTGTACAGGACGACAATAATTCAATTTTGCTTCAAGCAGAGGTTATAAAAAGTTCTTACATTGCAAATATGAACAAAAGAAATTTATAAACGTTCTATTTTCCTGTCATTGAAATAGTTAATAACACATTTGAAATATTTTTTTCCGATGTCAAACATGCAGCTGATATTAGAATTTCTGTTTTAAAAAAAATCTCTGAATTATTCTTTTCTTCTTTTGATATAGTGTCTGATATTGAATACAACGTCTATGTAACACATGATTCCCTTGTGACAAACATTCATTCTCTATGTGATACTGAGAAATCTGACTCTGATCAGAAAGTCAGAAGTGTGGTGTTCCAATGTTCCCATGCCATGGTAGGCAGCACTATTGAGATTCAGGCGCCGCCTCACGTACCTCTGACTATCTACGAAGTCGGCTCAGCATGTAAGCGTGATAAAAGGGCTTATTTTTTTATCTCTACTAGTCAGAGACCAGAAGAGCTTATGCGATAGTAAAGTGTCCGTCGTCCGTCCGTCTGTCTGTAAACAATTTTTTATTTCAAAATGCTACTCCTCCTACTGTTTTGGTCCGATTTGAGTATAACTTTGCACAAAAGTACACTTCACTAAGGTTCATGAATTAGTGCATCGATTTTTGATTTTGATGGACGGCGTTGCCATGGTTATTAAAAAATATAATTCTCAGAAATTTCATTTAAACACTAACTTCTCCTCCCGCAGTTTCGGTCTGATTTCAATATAACTTGGCACATAGTAGACTGAACTAAGATACATAATTTAATGTATCGGTTTTTGATTTCCATGGACGGTGTTACCTTGATTTTAAAAAATATAAATTTCTTTGAAATACTTTTAACTCACTACTCCTCCTAATGTTTTGGATTGATTTCATTATAAATTGGCGCATGAGTAGAGTACATTATGGTTCAAAATTCTATTTGTTAATGCCTATTGCACAAAGTTTTAAGTCTAAGTGTTACTTTTCTTTTGTTATATAGACCAGTAGAACTATAGTCTCATCAGAGACTTCTGGTTCAGTTTTACCTTCATCTTAATTTGTGAAAACTTTATTGAACTTTTAGCCTTCATTGATGAAGTCGGGAAACTTATGTTACATCAACGGTCTTTTTGTGATTGTCAGTTAAGGAAGCTAAGGAAACAGGTCCATATCCAAGTAATAATTGGCCTGACCAAGATTTAAACTGCATTATTAAATAATACAAAACAAGATATATTCTGATATTGGATCTTGCCCACATTGAGTGAAAGGCTAAACTTTTTCAAGGAAATTTTTTTTTCGTATAAAGGCTCAAAGCTGACTAAGTTCCTGTAAAACATAATTAGGTATGCTTGCTACCAGACTTCTGATTCTGTATCACCTACATTTTTTATTGTTTAAACAGATAAAATGTTCATGGAAGGTTCGTTCCAAATGACACAAAATTCAGACCTTTTTCAATGAATTTATCACATTTATCATTATTATAATGACTATCGTGTTATATTAATGTAGCTTGCACTGTTGGCACATATGGTGAAGAATGTGACTTACTTTGTCCAGAAGAATGTCACAGAAGTTGTAACAAGATAACCGGAAAGTGTGACCAATGTCCAGCTGGTCAATTCGGAGATTCCTGCAACTTAACCTGTTCTAAATTCTGTGGACAAACCGGCTGTAACAGAACTACCGGACAATGCCATCAATGTGACACAAACCACTGGGGACCAAACTGTACCAGAGTCTGTCCGAAAGCTTGTTCTCCACACTGTCAACGAGAAACTGGCCATTGCCAAGTGTGTCAATCTGGACATCGTTTTAATGGTACGACGTGTCTACAATGTCCAAGTGGGTCTTATGGAGCAAATTGTTCTCAGAAATGCGATACCAAATGTAAAGATGAAGTTTGCGATGCCGAAACAGGTAAATGTACTGATTGCAAAGAGGGGTTTTATGGAGAATTTTGTCAGAATGAGTGTTCAAGTAACTGTTTGAATTCTCTCTGCTCTGCTACAACAGGCGAATGCTTGAAATGTGAAAAGGGTCATTATGGGACACAGTGTGATCCTTGTTTGAAAGGTTATTATGGTGAGCAGTGCCAAGAAGAATGCGACTACTGCAGGTCACGTGATTGTGATCCTGTAAACGGTACTTGTGAACAATGTAATAATGGAAAATTCGGCGCCCATTGCACACAAAGTTGTTTTTCATCATGTAAAAACAAATCATGTTACATGAATGGAGAATGCATTACCTGCGAAAAAGGTTATTATGGTGATTATTGTGAATCATTGTGCCAACCAATAAATTGTGAACTTTGTAACAAAACCAGTGGCGAGTGCTTGCAGTGCATCACGGGATGGTATGGGAGCGACTGTACGGGTGTATGTCACGCAGGATGTAAAACAGGGTGCTACATGAACAACGGAAGTTGTGATGACGTATCAGGGAAGAACGCGCCCATTTCCTCTCATTGTAAGAAACCTTTTTTGAATTTCATTCGTAGTGTCATGAATAAATAATATGAATCTCAAAATTATTTTAAAGATCTACCCCGCTCTAATTAGCTGATCGTAACTGAATTATTCTGTTTAGGCCTCGTTGGTTTTATTTGCTTTGTTGTTTCGTTTTCAGCCATGGTAAATAACGTCATGATATTAGGAGGTACAGCATTATTGATAGCATTTTCCATTGTTTTCCTCGTGGTAATTTGCCGTTTTCAAAAAGAAAGGTAAACCCATCTTTTTCTAGATCATGACCTCATCAAATAATTAACTGCAATATTTGACATATTTATTGCTAAATAAAGAATGATACATTTGTACGTTATCATACTTCTATCATTCAATTCATCTGGCGATTTTTTTTAATGAAGAATTGATAATATTGCTATTGTTAATTATCTTAATAGTTAATATACAATTTCCTTGAGATGGTTTCGTAAATTGAAACAAGCCCTTATGAATAAGTAATAGGTTAAGATTATCTGTGGATGTATATGCTAGAAATAAACTTATTGTAGAAACAAGACAAGAAGAGAGGCGAATTATGAGCGGTCCCTCAGCCTGCCCGGACAGAACTCATCTCATCAGTACCACTCCCTAGTGGAGGAGCACATATATCAGAATGTCATCACTGAGGGAGAGGTTGAACAGGAAGCGGAAATAGAACCTGTGACAGAGAACGCATGCGCTGCTATTCAAGACTGTAATGAATTCTTCAAAGCAGAGATAAAATCAGATATCCAACTCCCAAAACGGTTTATGAGGTTTGCCTCTCTAGATGAGGAGCTATTGAGAAGAAATCGCAATCGTGCCTCTGAGCTGTCTACGCCATATGAAACCATTATTATAAGGGAGGATTCATCGCGTGTATCTTATTACAAAAAGTAAATTTTCTTTTAGCATGCATCATCTTCGATCGGAAGTTCACTTCTCCAGTTTATCGACTCGGACATTATCAACTACATTTAAAGAGTTCTACAACCTGAAAGTACTGAAGTGATCAACTTAAATTTGATATATATACCTGTAGATAAATATCTCGGCTTAAGGACATTAATTAGAAAATGAAACTTTAAGCTGCTAAATTTTACTTATATACTCATTTATACATGTACGTCAATTTTTTATCGATGGAGTTTATATAAAATGTACCTTTCCCAATTGTTTCATTTTTATCAATATTATCCTTGGCGATGCCATCAAGTCGTACTCTGCCTTATGCTTTCTTTTTTTAAAAAATTGTATTTTTTTTAACTTGAATATGTTTCTAATGGTTTGGATAACTATATAATTTTTTCTGAAGTAAGGAAACACTTATACAGAGTAAATACAAATTTATTTTATGATTCCATACAAGATAATGCTGCATAACATATGTCCAATACACCAGTCACTTTTGATCTGATAAAATTTAAAAATATAGTAATAAAACATATTTTCAGAGCCGTAATGGCAATTGGCAGAGTTGATTAATACGCTAAATGTATGTTCTTATGCACTTTGTAAGCTTTTACCAGCATAACATTGACAAATACCTGAGTATTAAATAAATCTTATCAGAGCTTTGGGACCTGAAGACAACATCGGTCATCGGTCCATAATTATAATATTGAGAATTATCTTCATTCTCAACAAGGACAACATCAAAAGGTCAAATATGATGTTATCCAAAGAACACAAGGTATACATCATCAAAAGCTTCATGTGAAATAGGAAATCATATATAGCTCCACCAAATGAAATATTGTGGGCAAGGTTAAGGTTGTTTGCAGACAAAGAGACTGACAGACTGACGGACAAAGTAAAACTATATGCCCCCGATTTATCGATTACGGGGGCATTATGAGAACAAAAACTTTTTTATGGATAAATCTGATTAATGACAAATGTCTTGAAATGTTCATATCTTTAATATATAAGAATGTTATATAAATAACCCTGAAGTGAATACATGTTAACATATAAAAAAAATAATGCATGATTTAATGAAAAATTAAGTATAACATCAATAAAACTAATGTACATGTATGTCTGTATTTGTACAAATGTTGATATGTTATTCACAATTTAGTTCAGTTTTTTGTCCATTATTTCATCCGAATGAAGAAAGTCAAACGAATGGTCGTCTTCGCTGCCTGTAGTCGTCAGTGAATCATGGCTTCTTCCGAAAACTTTCAATTTAGTTGTGTTAGCGTTCCCATTCTGCATTCCCGCCAGTTTTTCTAGTTTTTCGACACTTTGAGGTTTAAAACAAACTTTTGCTATAATGAGGAGGGTGATACCGGTTAGCAGGGCATTTATAGCCAGCACCAGTAGTGGGTTATGTGGGGCGGGCGTAAGTCCGGAGAACACCAGATAAAATAATCCCTGTCCCACGGAGAGAAGACCCAGCAATCCCAGAAACGCCCCTGGACGGTGGACAATGTCGGTAATGACGACTTTGACCATACTTACTACCTAGATAAATAGAAAAAGTATTTTAAAAAAAATTAAAAAGACGCATTTAGATAAAGAAAAATTTACACGCGAAAAAGAACACCTGCTTTTTGCCATTCGAGATACAAATGATACTGAATTATTGATGAGTATGCATGATTCCATTTTTCGGGGTCCAAGGTTAATAATATCAAGTTATTGACTTTTTTGTCTTCTCTTTTATACAAAAATTAGTTGAGTCATTTGATAAAAAAAGAACTAAGTGTGTACAAAAGTTCACTTACTGCAAACAAAAATGAACAGCAAACTTTGGAACTTACCTCTTTCATATTCTGTAATAAATTCAGAGTAAATTCGATTGAAAATAATCAAATTTTAACTCTAAAAATTAGATTTTAAAGAATTCTTACCTTGATTACAAAATATCAGAAACAGGAACAAATATAATTTAAATTTAGAATCATATTTTCAACGCGCTCTGATTTCATTGGTACACGTACCTTGTTTACAAGTAGAAGTCAGCCATCCAAGACTGCTAAGTTTAACGACCAAAGAGCGATAACTCTAATTAAAAACTGAGAAAACACGTGTCCGCGTACAGCACATTGAATTTACGCGTACAGTATGATGTTTACATTGCATATGAAAAATAAACCTATATAAAATGATCGTACGTCTATCAATCGAAGTATGAATCTATCAAATTTAGGAAGAGAGTTTTATAAATTTAACTTTGTCGATACAATCATGCTTATAAATTGGATTTGGGAAATTCTTTACTATTTCGGTAGGTAAAAAAGTTATTTTCAGTTCAATATTTTAATTTCCTCTTTTTCATAGAAATATTTGAAATATTTTCACAATTATGCTTAAGATTGTTTTTGATGTCTTTAATAATTAATTGTTGTTTTCTTCAGGATTTTATAGGCGGGCAAAATTGATGATAATAGGCCTAGATAATGCCGGTAAATCCACACTGTTGTCTCTTCTTAAACACGGAAAACTAATCCAGCACCCGCCAACTCCTCGTCCAGGTATTTTATTTCAAAAGATTTCATTCACAAAATGTACCTTTATAGTGCAATCTTTCTTTAACTTAAATTGAATATATATTAATTTATTTAATGTGTAAAGTCGTTAATAATTTTCCCTTTACGTCAGAATATCATATATAAATAAAAAATATTCAAAATGTATTTTGTATTTCTTTAATAGTATCAGAGGAGATGACTCTCGGCGGTATCACGTTTACAGCCTATGATCTAGGCGGCCACCAGATGGGTACAGTAGATTTTACTTTATTTCAAAAATGTATACATAAGCATATACCATTTATAAATGAATATGTTTGATTAATGGCGTGAAAACTTTGTAATGGGAAAGAAACATTACTGTATAGAATTGAGACATCGAATCTATTTGATGTGGGAGGATGACTACTTTTACAATTTCGTATATAGATAACAAAATTTGATGTAGACTCAAAATTCATCTAAATATTCAAATATTTTAATTCAAAATATCTTGAGTCGGAAACTCTCATAATTCAATTCATTTAGAAGGGTGGGTGACGATTGTGGAAGTCTCACTGTACAACACTGTCACTGCACTTCAATATTGCATATTACTACACAATTATATGGATTTTTCTATGGTGAATATGGTATTTATTCACCAGAAAAATATCAATATTGACCGAGGCGAAGCAATATTGTATACTAATACATGTACTAGTAACATAATATAACTGTATGTATACTGCATACCGGTAACGTAACCTAATACAATGTATTACATAATTTATATGCACTGGTAACGTAACCTTATATTGTATACATGTACTATATTGACAGCCCGAAGACTCTGGAAGGAATATATGCCCGCCATTAACGCAGTTGTGTTTGTTGTCGATGCTTCAGATAAAGTCAGGATTTCGGAAACGAGAGCAGAATTAAAGGTATGTAAACACAAAGCCTTTTAGCAGTGGACAGATAGATGAGTTTAAAAAAATGATTGAAAATTATAGTATGAAGCCCTGTATCTATGTTTTGAGGACATAATACGATTTATTCATAATCTCTTGTTGACGCATTTACATGTATAACAGGGGTTATTTGAGAGTGATTTTCCAAAAGAGATTCCAGTAGCTATATTGGGAAACAAAACAGATAAAAAAGACTGCTATGGTACAGAAGAGTTAGTACAGGTGCTCGAATTGCAACAATACATTACAACAGTAAGTCAGAGTCATGTTAAGATCAGATGAGACGTTCCTCAAAATCTTTTTTGTATATCTTCGTAATGTTTGAAAAATATTCCAAATTTTTATAACATCAAATGTTTTTTGATTTTTCTTCCCCAAAGGATTATATGCATCTATAAACTAAATATGTTTTACACATCTACTTAGAAAAATTTATCTATTATTAAGGAACGTCTCGTCTGTCCTTAACATCAAATATTTTTTAAAATAGAAATGCATCTATAAATGTAGTAAGTTACACATCTACCAGTAAAATAATAATAATCCTAGAAATAGTTAAATTTTGAAAAACCATGTACATGTAATTCTATTTCAAATCGGCAAAATCGAGTTGTTCTATGTCAAATGGGTAATATCTTTTCAAAAGATATCTCACAAAAATACGATCATGTTAAAAAGAAAAGAAATTTTAATTTATAAAGTACATAAACTATTTTTACCATGTTTGATTTTTTTTTCAGTGTGAAGAAAGTGTCACTTCTAGTCGAGAGTGCCAGCTCTTTATGACCAGCATGCTTTATCGTCAAGGTTATGGTGACGCTTTCCGGTGGCTTGCAAAACAGCTTAAATAAATTCATGATTTCTCCTAATGTAAAACACCTTTTTATGGAACATCACGTGTTCCAAAGAGTTTCTTACAATATCAGGGCAAAGTATTATCAAAACCAATTTTTTTGTGATAGAGGAACTGTTACAAAACAATAGAATGTATCTATTTTGACATTATTATCATCCACGTTTGTAAGTGATTTGGATTTTTCTCAGCCATCCCTGTGCATTTTCAGTCGGAACGAAGATTATTTTAAAAAATAAGTGATCTGAGGTACATGTATTTTTATCATTTTAATCATTTTTGTCATGAACTTTAAGTTTCTGGCACCAGGAAATGAAATGTTTATAATACTGGTGATCTTTGTTTATTTGTTAGTAATAAAAATAAATTAAAACAATACGTTTGCTTTGTTGAAATCTGTATCTAATGTCATGTATTTAGGAATCAACCATTAAGCCATCATTTAGTACCTCTAAGCTACCATTAAGCCAAACTTACGCGAGAACATTCTATAGGTAGGATTAATTTTTTAAAACAAAGCAAGCTATTAACCATAAAGTTAATGAAACATGGATATCATTGGTCTCGGTTGAAAGTCACCATTTCCCAAGTTTTATTTCTATCGAAACAATGTCACTATCAGCATATACTAGTACATTCTATAATTAGATCAACTGATGATTGACGTTTTACCGATTAATTGTTAGGTTAAGCCATTATATACACACTGTTTCTACCGATTTTTCCGTTTACCCCATTATGACATAGAGAACACGACAGATGTAACCGGTCGATAGGAGAAGCTTTCACCTCAGTGACACATAATCCCTCCTCTGATGTTTTAAGAGGTCTCTGGTTGCTGTATGTTCTCAATTTGCAATGTTTAAAAAAATTGTTTTGAAAACTGTTATCTTCATATCCCATCGACATATATATACAGTGTATATTGCTCATATTCTGTATCAATTATCAAGGTAACTGATCATCGATTGATTCACTGAAGTATGAGATTTTTTCTATGAATACCAAATTTGTAATGTATCCTAAAGTCAATCAAACGTCATCAATGATAATTTGTTAAAATTTTGGCAGACTTTACCTCGAATGTTGTCAGTCCTGTGGTTTCCAAGGACGGCAGCTTGTAACTTCACTCTAGTTTACTGATTCTTTACCATTCATTTTTAATGCAGTGTCTCAAATAGCCCTCGTTTTCCAGTTTGACTTTACCAGTTTCTCACAATGAAACAATTATTTGATGAAACGTGATCAAAAAAAGGGTTATCGGTTACAATTATAATACACAGCATTTCAAATGCGTTATATACCTTTATACAAGATAACTTTGCCAGATTGTTAAAGTTTGTTAAAGTGATCATTCAATAACTTAATGTATATATTATACCTTTAAACTGTTCCTTTGGTCGATGCAATAACCTTATCAGCAAATACAATTAATTTATCATTGAGTCAAATGCTGACTGACGTTTATCATACTAATTGTAAGTCCATTATTTTCACACTAAATGGACGACGGATTTTTCTATTATTTCTCGATGATGACAAGGAACACAAGGCAGTGGTAACTCCTCCATGGCACCTGATCCCTCTTCTGATGTTTTGGAGGTCTGTACTTGCTCTGCTTCTGTTTTGTATTGTTTTATGGACTTTTAGCTTGAAAACTGTTCATTATCTCCATATATTTCACTTCTAGTGAAAACGTGGTATTTCCAATATTTTTAACGTCATGGGAAACTATTCTTAACCCTATAATTTAACTTTTTAAACCTAAATCTGTATATGGAAGAACGTTAAATTATGAGTAGTAATAATTTTTTTTCTTCGTCCTACTGAAAAATAAAGGTATAAAGTACCTCACTTGTTACTTTTCTTACACGTTTATCGTCTTGATTTAGTCGTTTTATGATGACACAATGATGTAAACAGAGTATTTGGCATAATGTTAATCCACTTTATTTTATAAAGTTAATTTAAGTTTTAATCGATATGTACAGTGAATATGACAAAGTAGACAACAACACTGTCTTCGTTTTTAAGGCTCATTATATAATTGTATACTAGAAGAACTTGGATTTAATACAACAAGTGGTAATACAACTTATACCCATTAAGATAGTTCCCTTTCTAAGGAAGAAATTCTTCAAAATCATATGTCAGTTTAGAATATTTTAATATTCCAACAACCAAAATGAATTTGAATTACTTTATTTGATTTATCTTCATGTTTCATACCTGGATATTTTACTTGAAAAAGACGCTAATGGTAATCTAACAACCAAGCTTTATGATAAACGTGATGACTTTAATTATACAATTTCTAATACGAGGTAAATTATTGAAAATAATGTTTTAAAAAATAAATGTTAAGAATGATGCATTGTGAATTTTAAAGATTCATTTTGAAGATTGTAGTTTTTCTGATATTTATACAATTTCAAATGTATAAAGCCCCCAGAATCTATTCTCGTCAGTATCTGTTCCACTGATCTCAACACTACCTCCAGGTCCCGGGGTCGTGATCACAGCAGACCATTCATCCGCATTTTGTGTCATCCTTTCGTTACCTGCTATAGCTTTTTTGACAGAGGAAGACTTAAATTTGAATTTGACTTGTTGGTTAGCAGGTAATTGTCCGTTTAGTGGTTCAATAAGTATGCACAGGTACTCTTGGGTTTGTGGATATGCAACTGGAAAGGGAATACAAGGATCTTCAGGCTTGACACACTCAATCAAAAAGTTACCAATTTCGTTGTAACGGTCGTCGATACTTTTTACGTCTTTACTCATTAGCGTCAAGCGATAATACCCTGTGGATGGAAATTTAATGTTTATCTTCAAGAAAGTCTTTTCCACCTGTGACTAAAGTGAATGTTTTCCCTAAATCATATTTGGCATGTGAGAGTTGAACCATGGAGGGTATGTTCCTAGTTGTTCTCAGAGTAAGTTCTAATTGACCATTTCTGCTTTGCTGTAGCGCTTGTACCTTAAATTGATCTGACTTTAAAAACCCAATTTCATAAGCTCTCTGGCTAAATCCCCACTGTTCAGTATGTCTTGGATAAGGACTTGCATTGGCTGCCTGTGTACACTTGATTGTGTATGTCATCAGTTGATCTAACTTATGCTGAGACTCTTTGATGCTTCCAAAAAGTTCGACCCTATACGTTACAGTTTTTGGTGGATTAAAGGTGATTTTAAATTCATGTGTAGATACCTTTCGTAGAAATCCATATTCCTCTACCCTTTTACCGCTGGGGTATTCATAGAATTCAAACGAAGTATCCAGCAAATGTCCTTTTACATCTTCTATGATAATTTCGACGGATCCTTTGACTTCAATGACACCGTGCTTGTGAGACTTGGGGTGAATATCCCACTCCAGGGCAGTGTTAGAAAGTTTAATATTTCTATTAAACTCATCGAGAGAAATGGGATTTTTAAGCAGCTGCCATTTCTTGCTAAATTCCTCATCGTTGTGCTCAAATGGAAAGTGGTCGACAATGAAATGTCTGGGGTTTGTTAAAAAATAGAAATTGTTGAATGCTTTCTGGAATTCTCCTGCATTGCTCAGGTGCCCAGCACCCCATGTACACTCGACAAATTGCCACTTATTCTCTAAAAATACTGCATTCCACGCATGATCAGTCCTTCTATTTGGTGTTATTGGTTTCTCTGGGGAATAGCCATAACCTTTTGAAAATCCAGAAATAACTTGCACTTGTATCCCTGCCCCTCTGAAATAAAGCATGACCTTCACAAATCAGTATTTTGACTAAAATAGTCGAAATCCTCTTATTCATATTGTTCAATTTTAAATAAGAATAAACTTTTCCTGCCCAACTGTATTTACACCTATTTAATCAACAACAAGGCAGATGACTATGAAAGCCTTGGAGAGAGATTGGCCTACTTCTTATGACTTTTTTGTTATAACGTGCTTGTTGTGATTTATTTGTAACGATTATTTGTTACTGGTTGAAATATAAGTGTTATGTTTCAGTTTTCTAGTTTGTATATATTGATGCACATGAACATAACTATTACTTGTATTAATTCTTGTTATTAGAAATAATTTCAAAGGCAAAAATATTACTGTTTTTCGTTTTTGAAACTACAGGTAGCCTCCATCTCACGTTTTTTGGGGTTAAGTAAACAAGTGATAACCAAACTGTAAGAACAGAATTAAATGTCCCTCCATGGCTTTTTTATCAGACATTGTTGAATTGTAAAGAATGAATTATCTTTAACTTTGGAGATAAAATAAATTTTGTCTGTTTAATTACACTCAGATTTGTATAAATCAATTAAATGAGATGATAAAACCATTTAATAAAATAGAGCACGTACTTGCAAAAGGCTTCAAACAAGTTGGCGTAACCGCTGCACACAGATTTCCCGTGTTTTATTACTGATTCAGCATTTGTATTTCCGTAATTACCGCTAAAATAAGCATCTGTGTCATATCTTAAAAAAAAAAATCAAAACCTTTAATGTGTCCTAATGATTAAATTCAACAGCTATCCACTAATTATCTTAATAATGAACAATTCAGGTAAGTCATGTATTCTATGTTGCAATATTAAATTATTTTTTTACTTCCGAAAATTTTGACAGGTTGTCATTTAAAACCATATAGATAATTTTATCACGAATATTATTCGAATATAAAGAGAAGTTGATATTCGAATATAAATTTAATCAACCTTTAATATTGGCTTTGATTTCTAAGTCTTAAAAGCATTTTTTTTAAAAAAAGAGAGAAAAACCTGGAAAGTTTTATTAGAAATTGAATCAAGTTTGTACAAAATTAAAAGACAGTCCTCTTGGATTACCAGAAAGGTGTGAAGAGTGTATCTATCAAAGTAATTTATTTATTTGATCATTAATTAGTGGTAAAATAGTGTCCAGTACTTACAGTCAGCTTGTATTGTTGTAAGAACACTTTTACAGTATACACATGGATCCATTGTTTATGTAAATATCATTAAAGAATAAAAATCATTATCAGGAATCTTTCTCCTTTAGATAATTGTTCTGCTTGGTATAAATTTGTAGGAGTTGTCAGTATAGACTTTAGTAAGATGATCTATAAATCTGGAACATGCTAAAGAATCTTTTAAAATTTCACCAAAAATAAGCATTACATTTTGAATGTATGCTCTTCATATATTCGATAATTAAAAAAAATATATAATTGCACATTTACCAAACTCTTTATGAGTTTTTGTTCCAAAATAATGGCATAAAACCTATTCTGCATGACAGGAGAGTGAAGATATATATTTTATAATGCAAAATGTATTTATTTTATCGAATATTCGAAAATATTCGAATACTTCTATCGAATATTCGAATATCAATTATTAACAATTTTGACATCCCTAATACAAATGTATTACATAATTTCTTACCTCCGAAATTTTTACAGGTCGTCAGTTTAAATTACATGTATACAGATAATTTTATCACTCTGAATTACCATTATTGAATATAAAGAGCAGGAAGGTAATGTTGTCACCAGTTCTAGATAAAGTGTAATCAAACCTTAAGGTTCTTGGCTTTGTTTTTATAATCATCACACTATCTTATAAAATGCATACTTTTTTTTTAAAAACAAATGATGATATCTAAGTCCATGTAGATTTACATTCTTACTTTATATTGTTGGCAATCCATACAAAAAAAGCTCGAACTTTTTCTTTATCCGACTTTGCCCCCTTAATAAGATAATCCGCAAGACAATTAAGAGACGTTTTGACATCTTTAGGTGCCTGTTTGGAAAAAAATTGTACCTAAAGTTTTATATTGGAAACAAGTACAAGTATATATGTATTAAATTATAATTAATACTACAGGTAAGTTTATTTTAATTTTATAATTTGCCTAAGATGCACTTAAGTGGATTTGTATAAAGGAAAACAAAAGACCTTTTCACATAAATGTTACATATGCATTTTATGGATTGATATTCATGTACAAACTATCATATTTACAATTATATATCGTCATGATTTGTATCCTGAGTTTTGATTTTTTGCTGTTTCTGACTCAACTTAAGATTTTCTACACTTTAAACATTGAATTTGCTATTTACATTTCCTTTCATCTAACCCCCCTCCTTTTTTTCAAGAAAAATAAATCAAATATATATGTAACTAAACAACTCATGAGAATTTTTAATGATTTTACACTGTTGTCAATAATTATTTTACCATTTTAATTTACTTAAACACTCCACATTAGAAAAGAATAGATGAAGGTTTAAAAATAATTTTAATGACACATGTTCACCCAAAAATGTAAACTGATAATTTATCATTCTTTTAATACAGCTTTTACTTACATTTATTGCATGAGCATCAATGAGATCGTAGGCACCTTTCTTGAGTTCCCCTGTTGGAACTGTTTTTCTGCGATCTGCTGACGGTTTTCGTCTTCTTTCCGTTGTAGTTATAATGTTATCTTCTGACAATTTCGGTTTGTTTTGTGCGGGGATAGTTTTTACCGTTGATACATTTTCACCTTTATCTTTCGGAGTAATCAAAGGAGTTCTTTGGTCATCTATTGCCACGGCGTTTGATGTACAGCACCCCATTCTTCTGACAGGGACAGGTAATCAGCTCTGATTCCACACTTCCTTGTCGATTAGTCAGAATTTGTACTAATTTAAACTACACGTATTCTATAACTCTACTATCGTCCAAGAGACGGGTCAATACCTGTATTGATTATTGATAGGTATTGTTACAATGCAATGTGTCATAAAAGTACAATGTTTCAAAGGACACGCGAGATAGATAATTTTTCAATTTTAACCTTATAATAAGTGAAAAAAGGAGCCTCACCAATAATTTACAAAATAAAAACGATTTCACAATCAACAATAAAATGAAAGGCATTTGTTTATTTAATACACTTAAATGTACAGTATTTTACAAAATGTAAAAAGAGAATGAACAAATCATCGTGTGTTATGCATTTTATATCAGAGTATATATATTGTGTCCTCTCCCACAATTGACGAAACACTACAGTTGAATATTGATCCATATCGAAAAGCGGAGGGGGGGGGTCGACTGAGGTTTCCATTGTGCAATGCTCCTCGCATCATAATAAAAAGGAAGCGCATTTATTCTTTGAAACAGCTTTTAATACATAATAACTACAACATAAAAAAATTGAGAATATACAAATTTGTTAGGTTGCCCTCTTCCGACGACTGACGAAAAATGGCCAGATTCACTATATGTCTCCATTTTATCCTGTCAACAAATATGTTGACATTTTCTGGGAAAAAATGTATTGACAAAAATTAGTTTGCCAAAGGTATGTGGTGTTTATGATCTGCCTGTTCATCTGATATACAATATCATATTCTTGTACATGTACATCTAATCAATGAAGTTTATAAAGATATAAAGATATAATAATGTCTTGTTTTTTTAAATTGCTTTTGTTTATTGTTCTAATCTTTTTCTCGTGTTTACGTACGAAACACTTTTTTATCCATCTATAACGTTGGCATTTTAGGACACAACATCTACGAATGTCTCTGAAGGGTTTGAAAAATAAATGACAGTGGAAAAGGTAAGGTGAAATCATCCTGTTTCTCTAACAGTTTTATTTGTAATTTACTTTCATCTTCTTTGATCCGTAAAATTTCCAGAAATGAGATATACAACTATTTTAAAGAAACTATAGTCATGTTGAGGTAACGATCACAGCAATAGTTCTCTTTCATGTAGAAGTTTTAAAATTAATTCCTATTGTGAAAGTTACAACGCCACAATTCCATTACACTGTTGGAAGACCTGGTCTCCGAAACTACATGCATATTGCCATTGAAGAACTCCAGCATTCTTTCAAAATCAACGATACTACTATTAGCTTTGATGAAACATGTCTCCAGGACTACATAGACATTGACATCAAAGAACTCTGGCATAAATGCGAAATCAACTATAAAATTTTCTCTATAATATATAATGAAACAGTAATTGACTGGGAATGTCTTCAATCCAATCACTAATTAAAATGTTTCATTGACTATATCTACTCTGTAATGAAAAGTGTTCTCAGTGCGAAAGCTGCGGCCAATTTCTTCCCTTATATTCATATAATTTCAAAGGTAAATAGTCCCCAGAACCTATTCTCGTCAGTATCATTTCCACTTATCTGAACACTACCTCCAGGTCCAGGGGTTGTGATCACAGCAGACCACTCGTCTCCATTTTGTTTCATGTCCTCTTTAGCTGCTATAGCTTTTTTAACAACGGGAGACTGAAATTTGAATTTTACCTGCTGGTTAGCAGGTAATTGCCCGTTTAACGGCTCAATTAGTATGCAAAGATATTCCTGGGCTTTTGAACTTGCTACTGGAAAAGGAATACAAGAGTCAGCTGGACTCTTACACTCAACTAAGAGATTTCCCATTTCATGGTAACGGTCGTCTGTACCTTTTTCTTCTTCACACATAAGCATCAATTGATAATATCCGATGGATGGAAATTTCAGGTTTATCTTCAAAAAGTCTTTTCCACTTGTGACGAAAGCAAACTTTTTCCCTAAATCATATTTGGCATGTGAGAGTTTTACCATGGAGGGTACATTCCTAGTTGTTCTCAGATTAAGTTCCAGTTGGCCATTACTGCTTTGCTGTAGCGCTGGTATTTTGAATTGGTCTGACTTTAAAAATCCATTATCATAAGCTTTCTGGCTAAATCCCCATTGCTCAGTACGTCGTGGATAAGGACTTACATTGGCTGCCTGTGTACACTTGATAGCGTACGTCATAAGGTGATCTAAGCTTTTCTGAGACGGGTCTATATTACCATATAATTCAGCCCTGTAAGATTTAACTTTTGGTGGGTTAAGGGTGAGTTTTATTTCATATGCAGATTCCTTTCGCAAGAATCCATATTCCTCTACTCTTTCCCCACTCGGGTATTCATAGAATACAAAGGATGTATTAAATAGATGTCCTTTTTTGTCTTCTATGGTAATTTCAACAGAACCTTTGACTTCAATGACACCATACTTGTGCGACTTTGGATGAATATCCCACTCGATTGATTTGCTATAAAGTTTAATATTCCTGTTAAACTCATCAAGGGAGATGGGATTTTTAAGCAGTTGCCATTTCTTGCTAAATTCCTCATCATTGTACTCAAATGGAAAGTGATCGACAATTAAATGTCTAGGATTTGTCAGAAAATAGAAGTTGTTGAATTGTTTTTGAAATTCCCCTGCATTGTTCAAATGCCCAGCACCCCATGTACACTCGATGAATTGCCACTTATTTTCTATAAACACCGCATTCCAGGCATGATTAGTCTTTGTGTTTGGTGTAAAGGGTTTTTCTGGGGAATAGCTGTACCCTTTTGAGAATCCAGAAATAACTTGCACCTGTATCCCTGCAATTCTAAAGTAAAACAGTTCAAAGTTTATTGCAATCTCTTTGCTAAGCAATCTACAAAACAAAGGAAAAAATCCTATCCAAATTGCATATTACATGTATTTGATTTAATAAATATTTCAAAACTGGTGTAATATCCTAGGAAGGTAGGGGATATTTATATAAATTATTATAAAAAAGTTATTTGCAGGATTTTCTTTGCTTGAGAATGCCTAGTTTTACTCGTATGATATATCTATAAGAGAAAAGAGTAAAAGAGGGACAATATTTACTTGCAGAAGGCTTCGAACAAGTTGGCATAACCACTACACACTGATTTCCCGTGTTTTAATACTGAATCAGCGTCTGTCCCCCCGTAATTCCCGCCAAAGTATGCATCTGTGTCATATCTAAATAAAGAAATAAAACTTATTATTATTATTCCGAAATAATGAAAGATTCTACTCTATTCGCTGGGGATGTATATTCTTATTTAGGTATTTTTGTTTAACTAAGAATATAGGATAAAATAATAATTTCATATTCTCTAGATTATGTCATAAAATTCAGTTGCAATACGGTCATGAATATATTATGAATAAAGATTTTTTTGCTTCTTTTATGAAAAAAAAACTTTTTTAAAATTATTTTTGCATACTTCAAAAATAAACTGAACCTAAATCATTCAATGATGTATGCTTACTTACTCAATATTGTTGGCTATCCATATATAAAAAGCTCGAACCTTTTCTTTGTCCGACTTTGCTCCTTTAATCAGATATTCAGTCAAGCTATTTACGGAAGTATTTACATGTTTTGGTGCCTGTTTGGAAAAAACTAAACTAAAATTATCAGTAAATTTTATAAAAGAATAAGGATAATATTTGTAATTTTTTAGGTATGCATTTCAGTGCATTGAACTTGTTGTAAAATAGACAATACATACCAGCTGAAAGCAAATTTTCTTTTAATTTTAAGTATTATTTATATAGTTGCTATCTGAAATTCGTTTATGAAAAATATTGTTTTAACTCATCAAAATTTCAAAATATTTAGTTGAAGAGTAAACAATATAGGGTTATTGAACTTACATAGGTGAATATTGGCACGAGTTGGCTATTCAAATGCACGAGCTTGCCAATATTCACCAATGTAAGTTCAATAACTCCTGTATTATAAAACATTTCCACATAATTTATAATAATCATTCAAACAAAAAAAGGCAAATTAATAATTTTTTTAATATCGGTATTCAAATTAACGATCTTGACCTTAATATTTGCTATCTGAAATTCTTCTTGAAAAATCTTGTTTTAACCTATTAAAATTTCAAAGTATTTAGCCAAAGAGTAAACAAGTCCTTTTATTCTTCTCTAGTGTATCCAGATTTTAGAGCCAGATTAATACAATTCTCTGTCATCCTTGGACTTTTTTTTTACTCTACCTAGAAAAAGTCTCTAAAAGCAAATATATTCTCATTGGTTATGAAATTAATAACAACAGGAAAAAATTGTTGTTGACAACAGTGAAATGAGCCCCATCTCTTTGTGTGTGTGTGTGTTTTGGGGGGGGGGGGACTTGTTTACATTCGCCAGACTTTTCATATATATATATATATATATATATATATATATATATATATATATATATATATATATATATATATATATATATATATATATATATATCAACAGTGAATGAAAAGCTGTGAAAATTTCAAGCTAATATTTTCGAGAATAGCCTACTGAAAGTCGAAGGATTGCGGAGAATTGTACTATTTACATCAAAGGTTGTATGCTAAACATATACAGATGACTCTCGATCTCTCGAAGTTCAATGATAACATGAAACCCGAATAGCCCTGTGATTTGCTTAAATAGGTTTTAATGGGTCCTTCATCACTGTTCACCTGATTTTTTTAATTAATAAAGGAATTTTGTGTGAAAAATTTGCACATACTGGGATTATGTAGACTATAGCTACTAGTAATTTTGTTAATAGTCTATGGGACTATTTGACCAACAACTATAAATTTTTTTTAAAAATTATCGGTGTGTTCAAATCCCCAAAATAAGTTATGAATTCGTTTATAATTTACCAATAATAACCAATTAATTATATCAACACACGGACGACTCATAAATGTAGTGTCATCTATGTAAACACCCAATTAAAATTCTCCATGCCAGATTTCACCTGGTTTTTAGGTAAGAGCTCAATTTTACACTTGATCGGCGTGTATACACGCGCAATCAAAATTTCGAGAGATAGAGAGTAAAATTCAATGAAATATGTGTAACAGGACCCAGGTTTTGGTTTGCCAGATCGAGAAATTTGAGAGATAGAAGTTCGAAAGATCAGGAGTAAATTTGCTTAGTTATACAGAGGAAAAAACGGGACCAGAGGTTCACTTCGAGAGATCGGAGTTCGAGCCATCGAGAGTCACCTGTACTTATATAACAATTAAAAATAATAACATCGTCCAAAAAAGGGCTATGAAATTAATAACCAGAGGATGTTTAAATTGTTGTTCACAATCATGACTTTGCTGATCTTAAAAAGAAGATTTTTAAAAGATATTTCCTATATATTCTTATGTAAAACTTTTATGCATTTATAATTCATAATTATCCTCACTTGAAAGAGGTCCTTTTTTGAGTACACTTGAATCCTCTTCACCCAATGATATTTTACGGCAAGTTTGGTTAAAATTGGCCAAATGGTATTTGAGAAAAAGATGAAAATGTGAAAAGTTTACGACGACAACAAGGACAACTCCAACGATGACAACAGAAAACGGACAAAATTTGATTTAAAAAAAAAAGCTCTGGTGAGCTAAATAGGGAGGGAACACCCCAAGGCAAAATGAATTTTATATAAAAACTTTTTCTGAAGGGAATACTACTGATAAGTCAGTTTTCCAAGAAGACTTTAGAAGAAATAACGTAAAAAATCCGGTAATGAACTTTTGCGAAAATTTCTGACTTTTACAATTACTTTAACACTTGGACAAAATACGAAAGTTTTTCATCAATCAATTTGATTAAAATCAGATTTTTATTATTCTCCTTCAATCCTATAGTCAATGAACATGTAAAACCCTTACATATTAAGACCTATACTTCACAATCAGGCCCAGTAAGTAGCAATTGATCTTTCTGTTGCCACCAACTAGTGTAACAAGGGAGCTTGGTTTATAGGGTCTTATCCGAAGTACCGGGCAAATTCCTCAATGTTCGGTAGTTTAATATTTGAAAGCTAAATATAACAAATTGAATAATGATTGATCTAAAAAAAAACATCCTTAAATATAGATACCTTTATTAAGATTTTACTTACATTTATTGCATGCGCATCAACTAATTCATAGACCCCTTTCTCGTCTTTTTCTGTTTGGTTCGTTTTCCTGTTTTCTGTCTTATCGTTTTCCTGTCTTATTTTGACTTTTGTGGATTTTCTTCCACAGTAACAGGGCGATCTTCTATTGCTTTTTGGTGATTTTCTTCCACAGTAACTGGGCGATTTTCTATTGGTGTTTGGCCATTTTCTTCCACAGTAACTGGGCGATCTTCTATAATTGGTTTTTGGCCATTTTCTATCGATTTAATTGAGTTATCTTCTGTCAATTCCTTTCCTCTTTCTGTTGAAGTTTTAAAGTTATCTTTTTCAAAAAATTTTCCCGAAGTAATAAACTTTTCTTCTGACAGCGTTTGATCCTCTTTGGCAGGACTAATAAAGTTATCTTCTGAGAGTTTTTGACCGTTTTCATTCACTCTTTCATCTATCAGTTTTTGTTTGTTATCTTCTGAAGTAATTAAATCATCCTCTGTTGGTTTTTGTCCGTTTTCTGCCGGAATTACATCATCTTCTGTTGATTTTTGTCTATTTTCCGCTGGAGTAATTTGTTTATTTTGACTGCTTTCTGTCGAAGTAATAAAATCATCTTCTATCGTCCCTTTACTGTTTTCTACCGATTGAACTGATTTTTCTTCTGTCGGTTTTTGTCGCTTTTCTACTGATCTCACTAAGTTATTTTCTATCGGTTTTTGGCTTTTTTCGGCTAGAGTACCTCCGTTTACTTTTGATGGTTCTTGAATGCTATCTTCTGCAGTAAGTAAGGGAGTCCTTTGGTCATCTTTTACACCAACCCATGTTGATGCACTAACTTTTGTTGATGCACAACACCCCATTCTTCTAACAAATACTTTAACTTAGCTCGGATACCAAATCTTCTGGACTACTTAAACTATCATTTCATCAGATAAAACAACACATTATATTAAATTTGATTATCATCCAGGTAAAGTCATAATAGCGGTATTGATAACATATGTATTTTAATTGTTCGAATATGAACGGAACAAATTGTTTAAAATGAGACGCGAATGCAAATCGAGACAAAGGGATTTTTTTTAAAAAAAAAAAATAATTTAAACTCATTAGACACAGGCAAATACGGAAGCCCATTTAGGACCTATCAAAAAAAAATTTGAATTCGTTATGTCATTTTTTAGAATTCGTCATAACGAATTTAATTTGTTATAACAGATTTATTGAATTCATTATAACGAATTTAATCTGTTATTACAGATTTGTTGAATTCGTTATAACCAATTCAAGAATTTGGTTATAACGAATTCAACAAATCTGTAATAACAGATTAAATTCGTTATTACGAATCAATAAATCTGTAATAGCAAATTAAATTCGTTATAACGAATTCAATAAATCTGTTATAAAAAAAATTAAATTTGTTATAACGAATTCAATAAATCTGTTAAATCAAATTAAATTCGTTATAACGAATTCAATAAATCTGTTATAACAAATTAAATTCGTTATAACGAATTGTAAAAATCGTTATAACGAATTAAAAAATATATTTTGATAGGTCCTAAATGGGCTTCCGTAGGTAAATAAGGCTAAATCTAATTTATCAAGTTTTACTTGTAATATATGTTCTAATTGGTATTAAAATGGAATGCTTTTGTTTATTTTTGTGAATTCTCTAAAATTATTACTTTTGCGCAATAAGTTATATTATTAGAATTATCTTGAACTCATTATTATCTAAATGCTAATTGAAGGATTTTCTTGAATTTTTTTTAAGGACAATTGTTAGTATTATTACAGGATTATTTTGAAACTATGGTCTTCCTGACAATTAGGCTTTTGTAGATGTAATAGCATTGTTGTCTTAATTTTATCTTTTTAACCCAATTTTAATTATATGCACTTCATTTACGTTGTTTAATGACAGTGGTACCTTTTCAATGCTTATTATTTAAAATGCACATGTATTTGAAAGGAATTTAATGGATTTAATTTTATAAGTGTTAACCTAACTTATACCCAAAGCTCTCTTTCTTGGATAAAATTCTTCAAAATCGTATATCCGTTTTGAATACAATGTAATTTTCATAATCCCAAAGACCAAAATGAATTTGAATAACCATATCTATATTGGATTCCGTAACTTGATAAAAATCCTTACAAACAAGGATATATAGCGGGTTCCGGTAACTGTTCTCCCAAGCCTCTTTCTTTACACCTTGCTTAAATATTTAGAGGAGTGAAGGGGAACTTTCAAAAGTACTGTGCAAAATATATTCAAGGAGTGATGTAAATCCGTTTTGATGCTTAAAAATTCCGCGGAACCTTTGGAAAATTTTTCTTACGAAGCATAATCAATTCAATTTTTTTTTACATGAAAAGAAGAAAACATTTGCTATTTTTCAATCTTTTATTTTAAATAAAGAAGTTAATGGCAATCTATAAACCAAGCTTTATAATAAACTAGATGACATTAACGTTTCAATTGTCAACCCTTACTTATGCAGAAATATACCTTAATCACCTGCATATGGGGTTTATTTTATCCTTGTTTATTTGAAACGCAAAAACAAGCTTAACGTATGTACACTATATACTTTCGAAAATGAGTTAAGTTAATGTCCAAAAAGGATGAAACAAAAATATCAACATTACAGTATAGCATTTCATAAGTTCTATCGTCGATTCAATGAGCTTTTCAGCAAATGCAATCAATTAGCCAAAATGCTGACTGACATTTTTCATATAATTTGTAAGGCCATTATCTAGACACTGAATGGTCTACGGAGTTTTCGTTATTTCCCGATAGATGCAATAACACCAAGAACGCGGTGGGTATGACTAAAAGGCATGGGTTGCTCACCCCTCCTTGGCACTTGATGTCCTCTATGATATTTTAGAGGTCTATGTTTGGTCAAGACTCTACTTATAAGGTCTCCTGCATTACTTTTCTCTTTTTTCTTGTTGTTTTCCGTGCAACACGCTCCAGGTTGTTTCTCGAAGCGACTCAATGCCATAAGTTTGTAATCAGAGATAAATAAGCATTAGCTTCAAATTCACTGCTACTATCATGGTTGCAACTCAATTTTGTCATTAGGTATTTGATAAAAACATGAATCCAGAAGCTACGAAACTTTATCTATAGTCATGTCATAAAGGATATGGAGACATAAGGACTTCTTTATGTCCTCAACAACATCGTCATCGTCAACTTTAGTGCAACGAAAACTTATGTAATAAAATGTGAAAAAAAACAGTGGTTATTTTCAAAAATAATTTGAGGTTTTGTATTAATTGTCTAAATATATTACAATATATCAAAGCTAAATTCGGTAACTTTGAGTAAAGCTGATGTTGCTCAAGTCGAAAATGAAGAGCGAAATTGGTTATCTAAAATTTAAAGTCAGACTCATGTACATTTCATTTAGTTTCATTTTCTTAAGGAAAACTGAAAAGAATACATGTATACATATCTTATTTGATTTTCAATGCGATAAAACAAAAAAAAATCAACTAGTGTATATGAGATAAGACATCCTCGCAAGCCAGGGGTTCTGAATCAATACGTTGCCGTTGGTTCATTAAATAAAACAAAGCAGGAGAAGGGCAAACGCGAAACAAGTGCCTTAGAGGACTGACCATCCACTGCCGACCTGGCACATCGGGAAATAATGCAAACATTTGTTGACAATAAAGTGTCTAAATAATGGTTTAACAGTTGAAAAAAGTCAGTCAGCATTTGTTTTAATGATAGATTGTATTTACTGACATGACATGATCATTGCTGTGACCATCGAACTAACGAAATGAAGAATTTAAACGAGTCACTTGACAATTTTCATTACCTCGTTTTAGAAATTGTTCATACGTAAAGCATGTTCTTGCTCATCGAAGAAACTGAAAGATGTAAAGCCTTTATGGAAAAACCCCTGCATAAACAAATACATGGGCGCAGACATTTTGGACTCCCAAAGTTGTGCGGAGGAGAAAATGCTACCTGGCGCGTGATTGGTCAATAAGAAAAAAGACTTGTTATGTATTTGACAAGTGAAATAGAGTTGATAAAAATCTCATTTCAAGACTTGGGTTTCTTTGAGGTATATAGGAGTTACAGGTAAAAATTTGAAGAGAGGGATGCACATGCTCAGAGATTTGCATTTGATGGTAAACGCACCTAGTTGTTAACAAATGGAAATTGAAAGTAAAAGTGCAACGGCACGGTATATTTTTTCTGGCATGTTTTGTTTTCCAATATTTCGAACTTTCACAGCAAAAAGGTCATTTGCCCAAAATTCAATATATACATGAGTGACAGGGGCTCAAGTTTGTATGGAAATCTATGGAAAAACATTTGGTGGTGTTTGATATTTTTAAATAATTTAATTTTGGTTGGAACGCGTCATTTGATTGGATAAAAAATTAATCTAAATTGTATAATCTGGATTGCTTACGTCACAATGACTTACGTCAAAATCTTATCAATCCGCTTGACGTTTCGTTAAAAATATGAACAATTTGAAGGCGTTTTAAAGAGAGAAGTTGTCTTGTTTTATGTTTTTAATGATTGAAAATTAAATTATAAGGAATGAATTAAATAGGAACCCTTGAATTATACTGCTATAACCTTGGTTGGAGCAGTTTACGCTTTTTTATAAACCGCTTCGAGGTTATAATTTGTATAATTTGGGTTGCTATTTAATTCATTCCTTAATTAATACTAATAGTTCATATACATATAACATAAATCAATAAATCCAAATTTAAATATGTATCATTTTAAATGCATGTTTAATAACAAAGTTTCGGCCAATTGTAAATCGTGATCCTCATACTGATAAAACATTTATTATCTCTTCTGTTTTTTAGTGTTGTTTAATGACCTCATTGCTGTCAGAAATGCAATATTCTAAAATATTGTATAAGGCATTATCAGATAGAGAAAACTGCCATTGAGAGGGAGAAGTTGGAATTTCACTCTAAAGCATAATTTCCACAAAAAAGGTTCTGCTCCTAGAGAGCGATTCTGTTTGGGAATTCGACCCAAGTGCCAGTTTTCCGTGGGGATAGTCCTACGGTTTAATTAGTTTTAATGGGCAAACACTTCCCATAAAATCATATAAACAAACATTGTTACTCATCACACATGCGTACAAGCTGCTGCTGTGTCTTATTTTCACATCGTTACCTGACAGGTGAATCGCCCTGTCTCTTTACGGTGTTTTCCTAACATTATTAACAAACTTTTCTCGTCTACACTTTTTCTGGGAATTAATTTAAAAGATGTCAAATCTTCAACCACGTAAGTAGATACACACTGTATTCTACCTGTTTAATGTAATCCTCTTGGCTTGTCGCAGAACTTTGAACAGTCAAAAGGATGGGTATAATATATTTGAAAAAATAAATTTTTGTTTAAAATAAATGTCAAATGCTACCTGTTTTATGTAATCCTCTTGGCTTGTCGCAGAACTTTGAACAGTCAAAAGGATGGGTAAAATATATTTGAAAAAAAAATATTTTTTTAAAATAAATTTCAAAATGCTATTATTATGTAATTTCTTGTTAGGACATAATATCTTTATCTATTATCTATTTATTTATCGTTTAAATATATTTTTTTATAAATAATTAATGTGTTTAATACTAGTAATTAAGATGTGACCGCTTAACCTGATTATTCTCATTCTCTATGTATATGAGTTCCACCAATTTGCTTCAGGGATTTACGTTTTACCTTTGATACTCCTGAGAAGGTGTCAGCCAAATTCACATTTTTAATTCGCTTTCTTAATTGCTACTTAGTTTTTTCTCATGCTTGAAGCTGTGCATAAATTTGGTGTTCATGAACACATCAATTGATTTTTGAAAACAATATTTAAACAAAAAAGTCTAATGCATGTACAGACAATGTTTGCAAAACACATATGTCACAGTAAAAATGTAACAAAAAAACCTAAAAATATTGACTAAACACAGTTTCTCAGAAAAAGAAATTGGGATGTAAATATTTGTTAAGGAATCAACATCGTTGATTTTTTTCATCATTGAATAGTATTGTTTTAATTTTTATTCAGCCCCACATCAGCATGTGACCGTGGTACAACAGCCACCCACCCCTGTCTTCAGGGACATCCCGGTCAACATGGTCTGTCAGCATTGCCACCATCAAATAACAACAGCCATTTCCTTCGAAACAGGAACATTAACCTGGATTATCTGTGGCGTTTTAATTCTATTTGGGTATAAACCTCATCATTGATATTTTTGCTATATTATAATTATAATATTGGTAACTTTTTTCCTTTTTTCGGAGAAGGCCTGGGGAGGGGGGGGGGGGAGGGGGAGTAGAGGTAACATACAGAAGTTACTTGACTGAATATTAATTCTAATTCTTGTTTTAAACCTAACCAAATCAAAATTTTCGTAGTTTATTCATTTTTTTTTTGTAAAATCAAAGAGAAAACGCTTGACTAATGCGATTTATAAAACGGATAATCAAATTAATTCAATAATGCAGTGCTTATTCTATAAATCTATGTTAAAAGTAAATATGCATTTACCTCTTATTGTTTGCAAAGAAGATGAATTGATCATGACACACACAAAAAAACAGTTATTCAGGTATATAATTACATTGTTTGATTATCGATTATGTTCATCATCGTTTTTTCACCCTGTCTTGTGTAGTAGTTACAAAATTCGTCTATTCATGTATCTTATCATGTAACTAATTTCAAATTAACAATTGATATTAACAACAACAAAATACATCTCAAATTACTATAAAAATTTTCAGAAGTTTTTGTATACCAGGATAATAATAACTTTAATATTCATTTCCTAAAAATGAAGGTTCAATGTCACAACAGCTGTTTATAATCCTTGTAAAACGTTAACATTTCTTAATCCGCTTATACATGTAACCTTTGTTAAAAACTGTAGAGTTGGTTTTTAGCATACAAATACTTCAAATTAAATACAAGTTTAATTGAAAATTATTTCAGGACTTTTTATCATGCATGAAATTAAATGCGTGATAATTGAACAATATGTTTTTTAATATTTTAGTTTTCTTGTTAAATTATCTACTATTTTTTTCTCTTTTATTTTTGTGCACTCATATGATCAAGTTCACCTACCTTAATAGGATACGTTTGTGAACCTTTCTAATCTGACTATTCATTACTGTAATAATTTGTTCTGATTTCTGTTGAAGGTGCTGGCTTGGCTGCTGTTTGATTCCGTTTTACGTTGAAGGATGTAAGGACTGTGTTCACACATGTCCAAATTGTCATCAAGTCGTTGGCAAGTTTACCAGGATATAAATTTCCGGAGTCTGACCAATCTGACCAAAATTTATTTAAATTTTTTTTTCTTTTTCATGAGTATATACCATATTTTGAATAAATTGAGTAGTGTATCTATTATATTCAGATTTTCAGAGGTCCAAATAGTGAGTGTTAAGGATATATTTAGTTTATGAAGAACAATTACCCTTTTATTCAATATAAACTTTTATAAATCGTAGTAAATTATTGATAAATAACTTGCTAAAACAAGAATAGCGACAGTCTCCTTTAAAATCATTTCGTATGTCAATGGCCGATATTATGAACTTGTCAGCAAACACATCATATCAGACATTTAAGTCAAATGCTCGTACATGGATATAAGGATATGTTTATCTGTACAAATTACATGCTTTTAAAATTTGTACCTAAAATGTACATTGACATGTACATTTTGCACAGTGCACATTTTTCTTAACTTTTATTTCCATTTCATGACAGTGCACACTTCGTGCTCTTAATTTTTGTCTGTACATAATTATACAAAATGGCAAAAAGGCAAATGTCAAAACGTGAGCGATTGAAACGCATATGCTCTTACTTACAATTCCTGGTTGGCGAAAAACCATTAAATATGAATAAAAGTGTACCCAATTAATATCAAAACAAGATGTTTTGTAAAACACTATGCCAGCAATGATAACACAATTCTCTAGATTTATATAAGATGTTTTAAGGGTAGCTCGAAAACACTTAAGACCTTTTGTTTTTTGAAAATTGTGTTATGGTTACTTTATGAAACGCAATGTTACAGTTTTTTAAATGATGGTCAAAGGTCAGATGTCTATATGCTTCATTAAATAGTTCTTAAAATGAAGTAATTGTTTTGACTCTGATTTCAAAAGCTAGTTTTTTCTTTCCGTAATTTTGACAAAGGAAAGACTATATATTTCATATTTAAAAGATTATAAAAAATATTTTTCTTTTTATCTTTATAGTGAACTTTGTGTAAAATATTTGAAATGATATTTGTCATGTAATTTCAGGGTATAACTTATATATAGTTATATGACAGTATAAGTAAAAAATGGTGAACACCATACTAACGATGGGATTAATTTTATAACAATAAAAATCAAGGGTTATTGAAACGGTCACAAAAACAAATTCAAGTATGGTATAATAAATTAAACTGTTAAACAAAACATTTGCCTAGCTTTTCAACAATCGCCCTCCATAGGAGCATACGACTAGATTAGTGATGCAATGCTTAAAATAGAGCGTTAGCTCGTTAGATTAAGAGATATTCCTTCTATCTACATAATTATGAAAGTTCGGTATCCTCATGATTTTTAATTATCCATTAACTTATCAAAACATTTCATCATCACTCAAGTCATCAGGACTGTAAGCAGACACGGAGGCAATTTCTGGGTTTTCAAACCCGGAATCTGCGTCATCACCCAAGTTCTGGTTTTTATATTCTTCACTTTGATTTGATTGAAGTTCCTTAGAATTTCCTGCAACAGTAATGCTATTTTCCGATTGTCTCACAACTGTAGCCGTCTGAGTTGTGTTTATTTTATCATGAGAAAAATCTAAATCATTTTTCACACTAACTCTCTGATTTGGTTCTGTATTACATGTATCAGGTTTGGAAAAATCAGATGTTTGTCTGATAACAGTTTTATCAGTCTCCACAACGTTGTTTGCGAGGCTCTCCTCCCGTCTGCCTACTTCATGAAGAATCAAGGAATGCTGGGAAGACTGTCTTTCCTCTTCAGGCTCCTCCGGTTTTAACACAAATACATCAGTTTTATTGTCTGTCTTTGGAACACTTCTAATTTCTTCATGAAAAGATTCCTGACGTATCCAGGACGTCTCCTTTTGTTCGTTTATTACTGAACCTTTATAAGGCAGTGAGGACAGGCTTCTCTGTCTGTCTTTGATTGTCACTGTGGGCTGACTGGCCTGTGAGGACGACAAACATCCCATATTTAAAACACAACTCCGTTCTACCTCAAAATGGCGACCAGCACCAAGATTGTTTTGAAAGACATCCACGTATACGTCAGAAAATTCTTTATTTAAACAGTTAGTCCTTGCCCTTTAAATCCAAACATCACAAACAGTTGGGACTGAAAAACGCATACGGTATAGTGAATTTTTCAATCAATACCAACTTAGCGTTTAGTTCAATCGATAAGCCTTTTAAAGATCCATGACCTACATGTAAGTTGAATGGGGTTTGATTATAGGTTATATATAGACAAGTATCAAAAGGGGGGTCCAAAATTTTTAAACAAAATCATTTATTTTTTTAAATGTTAAATGCCGAAAGATTTATAACTATGGTTATATCGTGGTTATTTAGTAATGTATTTATAAATTGGTTGTGAAAGGACTTTTGAGTCTTCCCTACGAAATAGAATTTTTGGGGAAATTGTAAAAGTTTTTTATTCTGATTCCAAGCCTCAAATAGTTTTTTTTTTCTGGTGATTTAAATTCAACGTATATCTATGGTAAATTACGTGCAAGAAGTCATGATCATATTTCATGATACTTTGATATTTCTTTGCGCGGATACACCAAAACGATTGCTAATTGTTGTGTACAAAATAGAGTATCAAAGTTGATTCAGTTCCAGAACATGAAATTACATTATATTCATTCTGTAAGAAAAGTTATTTACATTAATAATAATATTATTTATTTATTTGGTAAAATCTATAGTCTTATAATAACTTTGTTTCATACCATGTAATTTTTTTCTTATAATTATTCAACCGTCTACTGATTTTTTTTACTGCCTTTTCCCGATCAGGAAAAGGAGCGAAAAGCGTGTGTGACAACTCGACAGGGGATGCCTGCTCCTTCATGAGTGTAAAACTACCTCTGATGTTAGAAAATAATTTGTATTGTGATCTACAGTATATATATTATTACAAAAATTATATTTTTTGAAATACAGGATATCAAAAATTACTTAAGGTCAGACGACACGTTCCTCAAAAATGTATAATTTTTCCTAAGAATTTTGAAATTAAAGGTACATAAACAAGTTTCCTCACAAAAAATTAGGGTACCTTACCAGGCATTTGGCCAAGATACCATGGGGTCATATTTCTTATATAGCCCCTATGGGTCATCTTCAAAATAGCCTAAAATACAATTTTTGGTGTACTTATATTTAAAAACATTTTGAAAATTATGTAGAAATCAGAAGAGAAAGACAAATATGAATAATTTTTCATATAATACCAAGAGATACAAAACATATTTTTGAGGAACGTGTCGTCTGACCTTAAAGAAATTATTCCCTTTCACAAATTTATGTTTAATGAACATTATATTTAGACATATAAATTACTGGGGTTATCTCTCTTAGTATAGCCAGTGATTAAATTCCTCGCTTTTCAATAAAGATTTAGAGGGAAGTAACTCTGTCAAGGTAATGAAAAGATGAAAACCACGAATTAAACATTGATCATTCAAACAAATCTTTTATTAACTTGGACTTCACTCATTTTAACTGAACCGTCTTTTCACATGGCTTTAACGAATAGCATAAAATTGAAAACTGCATTCTAGATAACGTTCTTACTTAATAATTTAATTTTTTTTAATTTCTAAAAATGTCCCAAAGAGTGATAAAAGAATGTGTATACGGGGAACGTCGACGATGGAAAAGGCGAGGTAAGCTTAAAACCCCTCAACGGTTTTTAAGTCATTAGAATTCTGTATTCTATAAAGATAAAAAGTAAAACCAGCATCCAGTTTGTAGCAAACTATTAAACATTGTCAGTTATTGCAAATTTCATTGTTTCACTGTATTCTAAATATAACGTGAAAGGTGTTATCAGTTTTTATGTAATTTTGCTTCCATCAGAAAATAAGAAATAGTAATTGTAAGCATGTGATATCAGTATGTGCGTCTCTTCTCTTATAATCAAAGTTAATTGAAGTTCTCAATCTAGAAGTTTAATACAGCCTGTATTTAAAGAACACTTGGGATTTTAAACTAATGTATAAAGGTTAAAATTGTGAGCTTGAGATTTTTTCTCTTATTCATAAATTGAGAATCAAAAATCATAAAGTTTCCTGAGTTGAGATAAACAAACAAATGTTGTTATTCTATCAGAAACTATCGCTTTACAAATAGACTTAGGGGTAAGAAACTGTAAGGTTAATGAATTGATGAACACTACAAAGAATTTAACATTGATCAATCAAACAAATCCTTTATTACCTTGGTCTTTTGTTATTTAACTGGATTGTCTTTACACATGACTTAAACAAGTATGTTTAAATTTGATGGTTTAGCGTAAAATTTCATTTCTTAAACATATTTAATAAAAAAAATCAATAAAGAACTACGAACTCTAACTCCTGATTCCTGTCTACATTTTGCACCCATTAAATTCAATATTAATGGCAATTTGACCATTAAATCTTTGTTAAATACAAAGAACAGTTCTATGGTAATTGATTAATCAATTTAATTTCACCGCTAGATAGTAAATTATCATTAGTTACAGCTCTTGAAAAAGGGGGGGTAGACGATATTTTTTATTGATATCGAACTTTCAAGAATCCCCATAATTTGAAAGTCTTACATATGATAAAATGTATCTCATATCTTTTCTTGTGTTTTACGCAAATAAATAAAACATACATAAATTAATAAAATACAAGTATTTAGTTGTAAATAGCTTTAAAATTGGTGAAAAATCAGCATTTTTTTTTCGTTTTTTGCCTAAATATATGCCCCCCCCCCCCCCCGTGAAACACAAAAAAGCTGTTTTGTTTTGTATTGAACATATTTTATTGACAAGCAAAAGGCTTTGGCATAAATTTGTAAAATGACAGTCCATATTACCCGTGAAAAGAAATTTTTGTGTCACGGGGGGAGGGGGGGGAGATGTTTTTTAAAAATATTTTTCGTTTTCCATTGATTTCTATAGTGAAAAACAAAAGTTTTACCAAAATTATAGAGTTATCTCTCTTTGGCATCCCAAATTAGTAACGTTTTATGAAAATTCATAAAAATATCTATGAAAAATTTTGAAAATCATTCGAATATTTTAAATTTTGAGAATTGAGTAGAGATAAGCGGGAGAACAATACTATCGTTCGTTCTTCTTATTCGTAAACTTTTTGAAATCATAAAATAAATAGTTTTTTAGAAGCATTAAATTAGAAACTAAATTAAAAATTACGTAATTTCTAAATCATTTAAGCAACATGAAATTTAATCTTTATAATTTTAAGAATGTGTCAAATAGTGATAAAAAAAAACTAATTTATACGGGGAACGTTAAAGATAGAAAGGACAAAATAAG